GCAGCTGCAGGATCCAGAGAGAGCAAAAAGCCAGAACATCTGCTTATATACAGATGTGGGCCACACCCCCAAGGAGACTCCCTTTCATCTGATTGGCTACTCACAGTATATTCAATCATGGGAGTGATTACAGTAAAACATGGAGAATCATGGCCCAGCCAAGTTGACACACAATCTTAACCATCACAAGTGGGATTGCTGGATGATATGGTATTTCTGTTTCTCGCTTTTTGAGAAAGCGCCATACCGTTTTTCATGGTAGTTGTACTATTTTACAGTCCTGCGAGCAGTGTATGATAGTTCCACTCTCCCCACAACATCGCCAGGTTTTGTTGTTCTGTTTTTCGATTAGTGCCATTATTGCTGAGTGAGATAGTATCTCACTGTAGTTTTGATTTCTATCTCTAATGGCTAATGATTGCAAACATCTCTTTATGTGTTTGTTGGCAGCCTGAACATCTTTGGTGTGAAGTGTCTCTTCCTGTCCTTTGCCTGTTTTTTAATTGGATTATTTGTCTTTTTGTTGTTGAGGAGTTGAAGTTTTCTATAAATTTTAGAGATTAGACCCTTGTCAGATACAAAATAAAAGAACTTTGAAATCCTAGTTTGTAAGCTATACGAGAACATTTGTTTTGAGAAGTCAGTATATTTACAGTTTTGATTGCAAGTTTTCCAGTAGTAGCCACCACATCTATATTGGACCAGCAATTAGTATTTTATGACCCATTTACCAGCTGAGGATTTTGAGGTGATTTTTTAATGATATAGCTGAGAGTGACACTAAAAACATTGTGAAGTCAATAAACTTTGTCTTAACTACCTTATTAGTGTCAATCCCCCTCCTTTTTTTCCCTTATGGTGCCTATTCCCTAGATGACCTTCCTTGATTCCAGATGCCTCTTAAGGGTTGTTAACTGATTTTTGCCAAGATGCTAACTGATATCCAGGATAATAAGGGAGTCAGTATGGATAGTGGTTAAGTGAATAGTCTTCAGTCTATTAAGATGTGGATTCAGATCCTCACTGATCCTAGGCAGTTTACTTAGCCTCTCTAGGACTGTTTCCTCATCGTAAGAAGGGGTGTTCTCTGAGGGCTATTGCAGAGTTTAGCTGCAGTGATCCTTATAAAGTGCCACAAAGCACTCAGCACATATTAACTGCTATATTATCATTACTTTTGACTTCTCCCCAGGGTAGTTGCAGTTTAAGGTTTGTCTCTGCTTTTAAAGCTGAATAAAGAGTAGTATTCCGGAGAATGCCTAGCTTGACACCTCTTTTTGTCTAGTCATTCTTTGTGATCCTGTTAGCAGCTTTCTGACTCAGCATATGTGATCAAAGCAAGCCCTGGCATCCTTTATCACTGCTACCTTCTATGTTTATTATGCTGAGAGTGATTCTTCTACCTACTCCTCTAAATGCACAAAAGACAGACATTGCACTGTTGAAAGTTTGCCCACATCAATAAACCTAATTCTGGCCTTAAAGGAATTTACAGTTTTATGAGGATATAGGCAGAAGTATTGAACAGATTTAGACAAATATAATTACACAGTTACTACAGAGAAGAGATATATCAGGGATTTTACTGCTGCCTTAAATTCTTTGTAGAATAAAGTAAAGGATAAGATAAATGAACAAATATAGTGTGATAAGTTAGAGTAGTTGACTCAAACAGGGCAAGTTCTTGAGAAAATAATTTTTCCATAATTAAAAAAGGAAGGTCTAATATGGAGGGAGAATAGAAGAGTTTTAAGGCATAGGAGGTAGAACAGGGTGGATGGAAGGAACGGCAGAGAGGAGCAAGGTAGCAGCAGCAGGGTAAAGGTAAGGTCTGGGCTGGGATGTTATTCATTCACCAAATACTTACTGCACTTCTGTGTGCCAAGTACGGTGCTTGATGCTGGACATGCAGTGATGAGCAAAATCAGATGTCGGCCATGCTCACATGGATAGCTTACAATCTAATGGGGGAGATACGCATGGCTTTTTTAAAAGGTTCAGTTTTTAACAAGCTGAGAGAAATGGACAGCCAGGTAAGATACAGTTGTACAGTGGCATGGAGGAGCTTTGTTCAAAGGGCTCTATTCTTTTATCAGCAAGATTATTAGCATTGTGAAAAGAAAAGATAAAGTTGGAGCTTACAGGATTAGGTTAAAAAAGCAATGATGGTAGCCTGTAAGAAGATTTGAAAGATTTATGTTGAATTATTGTGAGTAGTGTTTTAACATTGAAATCTTTTTCTTCCCAAGTCATTGATTGGCTGGAGAAATGTTACACGGCTGCTGGTGTTTTCCACGGATGCCGGGTTTCACTTTGCTGGAGATGGGAAACTTGGCGGCATTGTTTTACCAAATGATGGACGGTGTCACCTGGAGAATGATGTATACACAATGAGCCATTATTATGTAAGTGCTTAATTCCTTACATATTGATGGGTTTATGTTGAATTTTAGAGTATTATGGAGCTGGCTTGTGAGTTTTTCAGGGTTTGGGGTTTTCTTATTTTAATTAGTATGGCCCTAACCCAATGTGCAGGAAAGCTAGTATTGCTGTTTCTAAAGATGTGGCTTTGTATCTACTTCTTTCCACTTACAAAAGGGCCTTACTGGGGTGAAAGGCGCTGCCTC